CCCGCAGTACAAATCCAGAGTCTTCCTTCTGGAAATAAGGCCACTCCAAGAGGTTCCCAGGGGCATACCATTGAAAATAAATGGGAAGAGATGGAACAGGCGTTGTAATTGCCTGGAGTCCCCGTTTCTGTTTCCAAGATGGAGCTTGCTCCCTCAGTAGTAATTAGCCAAGGCAGCCTGAAAAACATCGGAGTCTCTGAGGCCAATGGGATCCTCCAGGTCTGCAGAATCCAGGGGTGGTCTTTCCAGTTCCGCAATCCCACTGCAGGCAAACGGGGGGCAAAGGTGGAGGGGGCAACGGGACTGCCGAAACACGACACCACTGCCTCCGCGCTGATATTCCTCTCCTCGCCGCCAAACAGCTGATGTAAATGGGGCAGCACGGAGATCGTTAAAACCGCCCAAGCCTCCTCAGTTCGCAGCTGCAGCGTCCTGGCGGCCCGGAGATGGTCCTGGGGGTGGTCGCACAATCGCGGGGGGCTCCTGTCGCTAGCAAAGGCAATTAGAAGATGAACCGAGCGACGGAGCCACCAGAGAACACCGCCACCATTTCCAGCTCGAAACTCTCCTCCTCGCTGCCGAGCGGCCCGCCTAGAATGGAGACTGCTGAAGACGCCGGAGCCCTCGCGGCTCGGGGCTATCCCCAAAGAGGCAGCCCCTACCGCTAACTGGTCTTTTTGGGCTCCCTGGGTCTTGGGCTTCCCGAGCGAGCCTCTTATGTTAAATTTTGGAATTATTACTTGCGGTTTTTCCTGCATTTTCGCCGATAGTTTTTTAGAGCGGACGGAGCCTTGCAGCCATCTTAATCCTCGCACATGCGCAGAAGAGCTAAAATACAGGCAAGAAACGGGTGAGTGAGCCCTCTGGAGCACTGTACTGGAACGTTACCCGGTGCTCCCAGCAGGCACCGGTACACACATACCGGGGCATACCGCCTCCAACCCACCACTGGGATGAAACTTTAACATACCAATGCCCCCAACTTAACAAACCTCTCCAAAGGTTTCTTTCATTTATTTAATTAAATCGTGACCATTTTCAAATCATGAAAACTTAGCTGATGCCTGCTAAAAAGTCAAAAGAATCACACAACTCATATTTCTTTTAAAATAAACCACCCTGCATAATGACAAAGGCAGTTTTGAATGTTTCTTCTTTTTATATTCAGAATATGTAATGATGAAGTGGATTATGGAGCAATGACCATCCAGAAAGCCATTCAATTCCTGTGTTCCTCAGATGAGAAAAATCAGGCCATGGGTGCCTACTTCCTCCAGCATACCTGTTTTCAAGATGAATCTGCCAAGCAAGAGGTAAATATGTTATTTCAGCTTTATGGTGGAAGCTTAAAAATGCAGAACTATGTCAGGACATTTTTTTTCTATAGCTCCAACACGAAGCTCAAATTAGGACCCAAAAACTTATCATTCAATACCAAATAAGTTACTAAAGCATATTGCATGGATAAATAAATGTGGTTTTACATTCATATTTACTTAATATTCATAACATAATATTTGTCCACAAATAATTTTTATTTGAGAACCTAAATGTACAGCTATTAGAAGTATCCCTGACTGTAATATACTTAAGTACTCTTATTGGAATAAAGACAAAATATTTATATAAGATTTAGTATATTCAGTTAACGATTCTAAAGATATGGTTATTTTTATTATATTCATTATGAATTCAAGAACTGTATCCATGAAAACAATCGAGTTTGGAATACTTAGCCATTACCTCCTAAGTAGCCAACAAGTTACCTGTGAAATTCCAACTGTATTCAATTTTATCATTAAAATGTTCCCTTAGAACAGTGGTTCTCAACCTTCCCAGTGCCGCGACCCTTTAATACAGTTCCTAATGTTGTGGCAACCCCCAATCATAAAATTATTTTCATTGCTACTTCATAACTGTAATTTTGCAATTTTCTGATGGTTTCCGATGATCCCTGTGAAAGGGCCATTCGACCCCCAAAGGGGTCGCGACCCACAGACTGAGAACCGCTACTTTAGAATATTTAGGTTAATATCCTCCTATACTAAAAATGTCATTACTGATCAATGAGAATATAATTAAGCTCTCAGAAACAAAAATAAATACTGCCGTTTGAAATATGAGTCAGAAAGTTCATCAAACAGTTTAGTAATGATCTATAGTATGTTATAAATGTACACAGTATTTAAGAATTAGTCTAAACCTTCTGATTGTATGAATATTTATCTTTTCTAGAACCTACTAGAATAGCGATAGGGCGATTAATTGTGGTACTATTTAGCAGATTTTGGAAGTGGGGGCAATATAAATATTTAGTACAATCTATCTGTTATGACACCTATGTGCTGGACAATAAAATTGAGTTGTTTACGGAAAAGCACTATGAGTGTTTGGAACTCTGTAGCCAGTTTGCAAAATAAATCTTCTTCTTACACTATTGTAACCTCACTTCACTCACACAATAAATAGTTGAGTGAAATATGATAGTACTTTAGCATTCTGGCTTATTCCATGACACTGATTGTGTTTGACAATGGACACAATACATTTCTGGACAGCTATGATATATTTGAAATTCCAGTAAAACCAAAGATGCTGCTCACTGTGAGGTCCATTTTCCTGTTTACAAAAACTCCTTTCTCACCCTGATTCCTGAGCTTTAGGCCTTTGAAGGGTTTTTTCCCCCTACTTCTTTTCAGATATATAAATAAATTTATTCTGTATATGACCAGACAAATACAATGGGAAGTAAAAACAATATTGAGTTAAAATAATTTATGGTATTTAATTTCCCTTTTGCATGGCGTGAGAATTGGGGAATGTTGTCACTGTAGAACTAGCAATTGGACAGAGAGAAAAAAGTTACATTGACTGTTTTAAGTATTAATTAAACTAGACTTTCTTTTAGGTAAATATAGTAGTTTAAGCTCTTGATAACTTTAGTTGGCAGAAAAGAAGTGGGCATTATAGTTAGGTATGCAAGTCCAGCACCATCACTTCAAATTTGTTTCCTGGATAGGATCCTTTAAGGCAGGGGTCTCCAGCCTTGGCAACTTTAAAACTTGTATATTTCAACAGCCAGCAAAGCTGGTTGAGGAACTCTGGGAGTTGAAGTTCACAAGTCTTAAAGTTGCCAAGGTTGGGGACACCCCCGCTTTAAGGGACCTAGCCACTTTGAGCTAAAAAGATAAGAAGCATGAAAAGATATAGATTAAAGCTAAACTATAAGTAATCAGAGTCCTTAGCAATAAAATATTCTTAGAGGGAAGTCGGATTAACATTGGAGATGGATTCAAAAGAATTATACCTGCTTTCTAAATGTCTCCCCTATCCCACTGAAGAAAGAGGTAAAATGTATTTTCTATACTCTCCATGTATTACTCAAGGTAACTGATAGCACATTGATGATTGCTTGGTGCTTGGGGGCTGCAGTTCAGGCCAGGAGATGGAAATTTTCTATATTCCCTCCCTAGCTCAATACCATTTTATTGAACATTAAAAACATAGACACTCAAAATATTTCACTTAAATGCAAGCAGTGGCTATTATTCATACAATGTAATAAATTTGTTTCCTGAATACGATGAGTCCATCCTTGAGTCATTTCTGTATAAGTGCAGTTCAGCATCAGTCCTTAGTAATAGCAGAACTAAGGAACAATTTTTATCAAGTCAACATCACAGTTCTGGTTCATATAATTCATAACACCATTCTCAAAACACAAATAGATTGATTTTACAGCCATTGCTTAAATTGTGTAAATCCTGTATTTATTAAACTACTGAAATAATTTATATTCAATGGTACATTTATCTTTGATTTGAGAACTGAATAATGGGAAGACCAAGACATGACTCAATTTTTTAAGATCCTTTTTAACCCCTGGTATTAGGCACTTGTTTATCAATCAGAAATAATTCTACTCTGTTCTGTTCTGTTCCGTTCCATTCCATTCTGTTCTGTTTCACTCCACTCCATCCCATTCCAAAGAAAACCATTGGGGTCTCAAGAAACTCTCATATAGTTCTGAAGGCCTGAAATGGAGACAGCGGTCATTACCTCCACCTCCCTGGTATATGTGCCAAGGATTATATATGCATACTTTCTGCAGTAGAGCCTCCTTAAAGCATATATTTCAACTTACCATCAACTTTTAACATAAAAGTTTTGTATTGACTGAAAGATCAGCAGAGCTTTATGAGCAGTTTTGTTCCATGAATATTTCAATTATCTCTTTGTTAGGTTTACCGACTTGGAGGCATTGCCAAGCTGATTGAACTTCTGCGCAGTTCAGATGAGAACGTGCAGCAGGCTTCAGCTGGGGCCCTTCGAAACTTAGTCTTCAGAAATCCAGCTAACAAATTAGAAACCCGCAGGCAGAATGGAATTCGAGAGTGTGTGAATCTCCTGAGGAGGACTGGGAACACCGAAATACAGAAGCAGTTGACAGGTATTCTTTTGTTTTGCAGCAAGGTGAAACATCAGTGGCAATGAGTTACAGAATGCAACTAAAAGGATACTTTGGACACCAAAAGATACACCTCTTCAAGAAATGGAAGCTAGTTATTAGGATGGCTGACAGATTAAGTAAATGCCTGAATGTAGCCCTTTAATTCAGTCAAGAAATTCACTATGCTTCCACTGATTTGTATTAGGAAAATTTAACACAGCCTCTCTCTTTTTGTGAATTGGAGAATTTTGCAAATATATCTTACCACTTAACAGGAAAAGAACGATCACATATTTTCTTTTTGGTTCCATATTTCAGTAACATTAAGATAAGGCTAAATGTGATCAGAAAATAGGCTTCTAATATCATCCTTCAGTGATAATTTACTTGGAAGACCTGCTTGACTTCAGTGAATATTTAGAGATAGATTTTCACATCACCTGTCTTGCCTGTTTATATGGAAAGAGTCACACTGCAAACTCCAGCAACGAACCTCTTTAACTTAATTTCTAGGATTGCTCTGGAACCTTTCCTCCACTGATGAACTGAAAGAAGATCTGATACACGATGCTCTTCCAGTACTCACTGATCGTGTTATTGTACCTTTTTCTGGATGGTGTGATGGTATTGGCAATAGAACAAGAGAAATTATTGACCCAGAAGTTTTCTTCAATGCCACTGGCTGTTTAAGGTACATCATTGGACATAAAATTAATATTTTAATCACATTGTTAAAAATAACAGAATGAGATTAAAGTTATCTGGAACTATCCTCCAAAAGAGCTATATGTCATTTTGTTTTATTTTTCAAATATTTACAAAGACAGTGAGGTCAATAATATAAAAATAAACAATCAAACACTAAAAAGATGGAAGAAATCTGCATCCTTTTGCATATAACTGGAATTCTGTTGTTTTAAAAGGTTGCTATTTAAGCCTTACCTTCAGTGGAGTTGGTGATATGAAGAATGGTTTCTGGGACCTTAGAGAATTGGATCTTGCATGCTAGCAGACTGGTGTAAGGAGGCATTTCTTCAGTGTTGGTTTCCAAGCCATTTACGTCTTTGAAGAAAAGCAGCAATACCTTGGAATGGCTTGGAAGGAAATAGGTAGTTACTAAGCTTCTTTAACAAACCTGGTCAAGGAAAGAATGTCCATCTAAACTCTTCAATTGCTGTAATCAAACCTCTGAATTAGATAATGCAATCATCCATGTAAATAAATATATTTGGATGTTGCTGTTGCTTAATTAAATGACAAGTAGGTGCAAGATCTATGTTATGTCACAGACAAATGTCCAACTATATTGTTAAAATGCAATCCTTCCTGCTTACTTTTTTGAGAATTTAAACAATAGCCCCTGGCTACTGATTTCCCATAAAAAGTCCTATTGTATTGACTTTCCTATCTAAAATACCTTGAGCTCTTGTCAGTCACTCCAATTTACATTATACTAGGCAGTTTGTGGGCAGAGAAAGTTTTGCTCATGCTTGCGAAAATCAAACCAACCTTGGCATGCAGATATGAGTTCTGACTTGTAGCTTTCAACTACCAGTCTCCTAGCTGCCAGCAACTAGGAACTATTGGATGGGCAGATGAAACATATTTGCAATTAGAAAATTTAATCAACTGAAGCAATGCCTTAGGACAGGGATAGGCAGTCGATAGATCAGAAGCTACTGGTACAATTTTGGGAAATCTGCAGAAGATTAAGAAGAATGTTTGACTCTTAATTGAATAACAATAGCAAGTATTGAATATATTTCTTCCTTAAACTAAACTGCTGAAAAACAGTGTTTGGGGAAAACCAGGGATCTTGCAAAAGTGAGATTTCTTCCATATTTTGTGGTTTGGTTTCAACGTAACATTCATACCATGTGTTCATATTAAGTAATTTGTTATAAATAACTCAAACATATCACATCCGTACTCATTGAAGATATGGTATGACATACTCTGTCTTCAGTTACTTGTATCTTCCCTTTTTGCTCCTTTCTGGAGCAAATTTACCTCTACAATAGTTAAGACCATACTGTATGAGCAACTGATTTCTACACATATGTGTTGCTGCTACTCCTTTTTTAAATGCTTTCTAAAACCCAACCATGGGCAGCTTTATTAAGATGTAGTGTAATCCTGTCTAAACAGTTGTCTATTTTATCCAAATGTCTAATCAAATAATTTATTACCATTTGCCCGCAGAGATTTTCATTGAAGTTATTTATTCTGTTATGAAACATAGATTTAACTATAAAGTAGCTGAGTAGAAAGGAATGCATTTGAGTGTTGTTCTGTGCCCTCAATTGCCCAATATTGGAGGTTTGGTTTCCAACTATCATGATTTGGAAAACAGAAAATATAAACTTGCTTAACTCCATTTAAACCAAATGCAAACCTGTAGTCTGTACTTACAAAAATCAAGGTAGAGGGGAAGATAGGGAAATCTTAGCAAAACCTGCTCCTGCTGACATGTTTGATGAACTATAACCCATTTTTCATAATTCTTCCATGATTTCTAGTTGTTCCTTCCCTGGCCATGATAAACTTGCTCACTCATTATCTATACCATTCCTTTCCCTGATGCTTCCCAGATGTGTTGGACTTCCATGTCCATGATTTCCATGATACATACAAGCTATACCATTCCTTTCCCTGATGCTTCCCAGATGTGTTGGACTTCCATGTCCATGATTTCCATGATACATACAAGCTTTCAATACTGGCTGGGTATAATAGACAACACACCTGGAAAGTTACAGGTGAAGAAAGAAACAGTTCTCTGATACTTTTTAGTAGAGATTTTCCTAGCTCTACCTACAACACATCTGTACAACAGATGCAGTCCTTTTGCACATAAAGTCATGTGCTAGGCGAGTGCTCTATGGAATTTTTTCCCCTTCACTAAGCCGGGTGTGGCGCAGCCAGCACATGATGCAACCGGCCTGCGAGTGGTGAGTTTAACACCACTGGGTTAGCTGATATGTGATTGCTTTGTGATTATTCTTTCAAATCTGTAGAATACAACTGAGGTTTAATCAGCTTACATTTTCAAAGCACCTCTAAAAATTCATTATCTAAATTAGTGTTTCTCAACCTTGGTGACTTTAAGTCCCGTGGACTTTAACTCCCAGAATTCAGCAGAGCTGGCTGGGGGATTCTGGGAGTTGAAGTCCACAGGACTTAAAGTCACCAAGGCTGAGAAACACTGATCTAAATCTTCTCCCCCTTAAAAAAAAGATTTTCTTAGATGTTTAATGATTTTCTCTATGTCATATGTCAACTGAAGTCTTTATAAAATCAATTTTGTAGGAACTTGAGTTCTGCAGATGCTGGACGTCAAACCATGAGAAACTACCCAGGATTGATTGACTCTGTGATGACATATACCCAGAATTGTGTGGCAGCTAACCAGCCAGATGATAAGGCAATAAGACCTTTTTGTATGCTTTATGAATTGATAGAGTTCTTGGTTCCATGAAAAATTAGCCTTGGACTGAATTCCAGTAAATATATAAATATTATAGAATAGCTTTTTTAACTCTTCCTCACTTAGTGCCCCTTTCTGTAAAAACTACATCAAAATATTGTGAGTTATAATGCTCATGATCACATTGTAAAGGGAAAATTAGTTTGGATCCAGTCAAGGTGTCTTTCACCTTTGGAGTTGCACTTTAGCAAGATCCTTGTTCAATTTCAGAGGGGTTTCTTCATTTTCCAAATTTCTTGTAAGATGGTAGCTTAATCATTGAAAGCACAAAACCCTGTTGTGTAACAATGTAAATAGGAAAAAAAAGAAATGTTCATTTTTACCAAATTCTATATATTATACATTTGGAATACAGGTAGTTGTCAACCTATGATTAATCATCTATTGACTGTTTGAAGTTGTGATGGATCCCCGATATGGTATTTTTGACACATTCCGTAGTTCTGATGGCTGTCCCCGGGGTCACATGACTGTCTTTTGAGTACTCAGCAACTATTTGCAGAGTTCTGCGGTCATGTGATTGCAATTTACAATGTTTTTGCCAGATGTTAGCATTTACTTCAGTTTCTCACAAAAACTGCCCATGGCAAGCAATGAATTGGCTTAATTAATACAGTGTTGCTTAATGATTGTAGTGCTTGCTTTGGTGTTCTCTTAAACATGGTTGCAAAAAAGGTCATAAAATCAGGTTGGTCATGAGATTATCTATTTTACTGTAATTGCCAGGCTCAATTACAGTCACAAGTCAAGGACTATCTGTACCATTAGGTTTTGCTCTAAAAACACATTCAGTACTAGTCTCATTACTTTTTAAGCCTTTGTTGATTTATTATTTCCAAAACTTAATTTCTTCATAATCTTAGAATCATTTTGCTTTCATTACCTTCCCATTTCTGTCCTTATGTAAACAATTCAGACAACTGTTACAAATTCCTTTTGTGTTAAGCATTTCCAGAAACACATGGTTTCTGTAATATTTTTCTCATCTTCTTTCTGGAAGAATCTTTATGGCAATTCACTGGGAGACCTTTTGTAGGGATAATAGAATTTAAAACTGAGGAAAAAGTTTAATTTCTAAAGCAAGATAGCACAATAATATGTAACCCTGTCTATATTCAAAACAATGATGGCAAATGTAATGCAATTACATTGTATTGTAATGCAATTATATTGTATTGTAATGTAATTACAAATTAGTGCTATCTTACTAAAGCAAGATAGCGCAATAATATGTAACCCTGTCTATATTCAAAACAATGATGGCAAATGTAATGCAATTATATTGTATTGTAATGTAATTACAAATGTGTTGCCCTAATAAATAATTAATTATTTTTATTCTTATAGTCTGTGGAGAACTGTATCTGTATTCTTCATAATTTGTCCTACCGCCTGGATGCTGAAGTGCCGAATAAATACACTCATCTTAACCACTTGGCCAGGAACACTCACACGGACAAAAGTTTGACAGGCTGCTTCAACAACAGAGGAAAGCTAGAGGTAAGATGTGAGGCATTCATTTACAGAGAGTGCCATTCAAGTGAATGCCCTTTTCTTTGAAATAAAGATAGGTATCCTACATCCCTTCTCTAGAATGGGAAAACCACCTTCACTAGCAGTTGCAGGTGTCAGAGCAATTGTTCAATTCTCATATCTTTGTTTTCCCCTCAAAATATTTTTAATGAATTGTTGAAGCTTAATGATATTACCAAATGTCATGCACCTTTGGCATTCTTTATGAAATCTCACCCAAGATGTCCTCAATTTCATGAAAATTCATATAAAAATGTCAAAACCTTAAAGAAGTCACTGAAACCTGATGAAAGATTGATTATCTCAACTAGATTCCATCAATTCCTGTGGCAAGATTGTCAAATGCATTAATTTGGGCAATTATCAGAATTACTGAATGTTTATTTTTAAATTTGAACCTGATCCACTGAACAAATTCAGTTCTGATGATTGTAAAAGAGTATAAATGGTGTTTTAGAAAAACAGATATCTGTCAAACAATATCTCTATATGTTTTCAGTATTTTATCCAAGTGTGCCAATTGTATAATACAGATTCTGTAAGCTTGTGCCATGATGGCACAAATCTATTGAGGAACATTTTGTACCTTATTTAATTAGCAAGGTAAAATGATAAATTAGGGTGATAAAATGTGGGCCTTTTTCACAATCTGAATGTTTTAGATTTTCCTTTTGATTTATCCTTAGTATGATGAATATAATCTACCACTTCCTGAAGAGGACTATAAACCTAAAGGTTCCAGCTGGCTGTACCATTCTGATGCCATCCGTACCTACCTGTCTTTAATGGAAAAGAGCAAAAAGGATGCCACCCTGGAAGCATGCGCTGGAGCTCTGCAAAATCTGACTGCAAGCAGAGGAATGGTAACTATTATACTTTTCCCCTACATGCTTGGTTGGGTTTTAGGGAAAACACTCTATTTCCTTCTTGTGAACAAAATAAAACTGTCAGAAAAATGAAATTGTGAGTCCTTAGTGCTCTCTGAGCTTAGGTGTTTGCTTGAAGACATTTGGTTATTCTTTATTACTATTCATTAGCCCCTGCACTGATGATGTTACCTAGTCAGGTAATGAAATACCTACAAGCAAACCAGTGGTGGGATTCAGCCAGTTCGCACCAGTTCAGGAGAAGCGGTTGTTAACTTTCTGAGCAGTTTGGTGAACTGATTGTCGGAAGAAATCATTAGGGCAGAGAACCAGTTGTTAAATTATTTGAATCCCACCACTGAAGCAAAAATTCAACCTTAGAGAGCATCTGTGGCGTTCAGTTCTACCCTGAACTACAATATTATCTTCTATTGAAAAATACATTTATTTAGAGGATAATCCAAATCCACTGGAATCTGAAGGATGTGCCCATTTTTTTCTGTTTAGTCAATCTACACTGTCAATTATCTACTAAAACAGTATTACTATTATTCTTCTCTTTCTTCCTAGTACCTATCTCTTCCCACTTATGTCTATAACCATGTTGCTTGTATCTTTACAATTATATTTTTATTTGTTTCCTAGTATAATTTGATTGCTTATTAGTAACCTATGACTATCATTAAGTGTTGTACCTTATGATTCTTGATGAATGTATTCTATTTTATTTTTCTTTATGTACACTGAGAGCATATGCACGAAAGACTTTGGCTTTGGTGAATTTGGTGAATTTGGCCAATAAAGAATTCTACTCTATTCTACTGATAAAAATTAACACTTCAGATACGATCAAACTTCTTCCATCAGAGAAAACATTTGGTATTAGCCAAATATTAATTAGGAAGATAAATCCTTTAAAAAATTTCAGTGTAATAAAATATACCAAACAAACAAGACCAACGATAGAAAATAAAAAAAATAGAGAAACAAATAAATTGAAAAAAGAAAAAAAGAAAAAATATACACATATCATCTGGTAAAAAATATACACATATCATCTGGTCTTCTTTCTAATGAATAATTATCCACTTATATTTTTCCCTAACCTCTTAATCTCGTTTAATCCCAAAATTATAATGTCAGTGTTTTCTTCCTTCAGCAAAAATTCCATTTAAGGATTCCAGTCTTTAAAAAAAGACTGCATTTTTTCTCAGACCAAAGTGGTCAAATTCACCTTTTCTTCAATTAATTTTGTGATATAGTCGTCCACTTGTGATATGTTACTTGGACTTAATGAGTTTTACTTGCTTCAATGTATGGAATAGTTAATGTGCACGCAAATAAGTTATAAAACAAAGTTCACCACAAAACAAAAACAACTTCTTTTCTCTTCTATTAACAAAATCTTTAAAAGAATAAGTACTCTAAGAGAGTAAAATAAGGAAATAATGACTTATATAGAAATTAGAAGCGTTAATGATACATACTAATTTTTAAATTCTAAGCCTTAAATTCTACACCAATGTATGCATGCAAGTAGTACTCAAGTTACAATGCCAATTTGGACTAGAATTTTTTTTTAATAAAATTTTTATTTTGAAACAAACACAAACACACAAAACATACAACATAAAAACCTCTTCAACTGAATACAGTGTGTCGATTGGTCACAAAGTCTTTCTGCATCCTTTCCATAGTCATCACTTGAGCTTTATCAAAAATCACATATTGTCAATCTTTGTATCCATTATTATTATACTTCATTTTTTTGATTATCACTATTGTTTCTCCATTTTAAACAAGGGATTCTAAAGATGTATCCATTTATATTATAATGATTCATTATATCATCTTCAATATATGCAATAATAC